GAGCAGTCAAACACATATAATTGATTCTTTGCACCGAGGTCCATGTGTCTGTTGTGAGACAAATTCTTGGTTGTATTTCTCTAAAAGACATTTTCAAATTCATTCTCAATTCACCATAAACTTCATAAGAATCCCTTGTTATGGTTCTACGAGAAGGAATCCGAAACAAAGGTTGAACTTTACTCATAAACTTCTTAAAGCCTTCTTTTTCAACAAAACTAAAAGGTAGCTCATCCAAAATTATCATCTCAACTAAAGCTCTTCTACATACCTCTTGCTCAAATTTCCAAGTCTCTATCGAAGAACTGTTACTTTGAATATTTAACAATTTTTGAATGCCAGGTGCAACAGGCGGGGACTTATACACTTTACATCGGTTAGTCAAATGTTGTCTCAGTCCACTTGTCCCATTTCTAGTTGTATTAGCAGCATAGTTTTGTTTACAATGTAAACACTTTGCTTTAACTAATAAACCATTTTCAAAAAAAATTTCGAAGTGTTGCCAAACAGTAGACCTAGGATCCATTTCTTTTCTTTTTTTTGTTTCCTCTGTGCCAATTGAGGCATCATTGCTAGTAGTAGGTGTATTATCCGTAGAATCAGCCATACTTATTCGACTTTGATTAGCCACACCCACATTTGATTGATTTTGTTCAGCCATCTATATAATAAAAAAAACATTTCACAATGAATTCACACTTAGAATATTAAGGAGCAAATAAGGAAAAGAAAATGATAATTGGATGCATTTTTTCATTGTGGTTTCTTTTTCTTTATTACTTTTGCTCTTCTTTTTTTTGTCTAAGATTTGACCCTTTGCTAGAAAATAGAAATTAGAAAATACAATATTACAATTATACAAATGAGCAAATCAAAATAAAAAAATAAAGTTTAAATATAAAAATTAAAAATATACAAATCTGAAATCTTTATTAGTTTATTTTAATGGATAGATCAAATCCCAAATGCACTAAAATATTCTCAAGTAATTGACTAAATGCAAGTTAAAAACTTAAAATTATTTTTATATATTCATAAGAAAAACATACCTGAAAGCTGATGGTTGTCGCCTGCCGGTCGCCGGCGGCTGCTGTGCGTGGTGCTGCGGCTGCCTGAGCCCTACTGGTCGACTGGGGCTGGTGGCTGGCGGTTGCTACTGCTGTGTGTGCTGCTGGTCGACGGGACTGGCGGCTGCTGCTGCTGGTCGACGGAACTGGCGGTTGCTGACTTGCTGGTTGTCGCCTGCTGCTGGTCGCCGGCTGTTGCTGGTTGTGCAGCTGCTGGCTGCTGCTAAAGCTTAGAAAATAGAAAGTTAGAATTTAGTAAAGTAAAAAAATTGAAAAGACCAAAAGGTTTAAAGAGTTTTGACTTTTGACCTAATTTAATTAAAAATATAATATTTATTATATAATATAATATATTTCGGTAAACCGAAATACCGAAATACACAAAAGTTACATACCGAAAACCGAACCGAAATACCGAAAAGTACAAAAACATACACCGAATACCGAACCGAAAACCGAAATACCGAAATACCGAAACCGAAATAATTCGGTTCGGTTCGGTATTTCGGTTTTTCGGTGTTTTTGCCCAGCCCTACGTTTATACTAGTTTTGTAAAAATTTTAAAAACGTATTATTTTAGTAAATTGATTTCTATAATACTCCCTCCGTTTCACAAAGAATGACCTGATTTGACTTGGCACGGAGTTTAAGTAAATAAAGAAGACTTTTGAATCTTGTGGTCCTAAATTAAAGTTATGTCAAATGTACAAAATTGCCCTTAATCTTGTGGTCTTAAACATGCCACGTGGAAAACAAAAAGTAAAATGTTACCAAAAAAGGAAAGAGGTCATTCTTTTTTAAACTGACTAAAGAGAAAAGGAGGTCATTCTTTGTGAAACGGAGGGAGTAACTTACTTTGGTAAAAAATTCTCAAAGTTCAAACCAAATTAATTGGCCGTCGGCACATGGTCCCACATGACACTTGTCTAGTAATCTATGTTGTTTTAATGCAGGCCTCTCTCCATAATTGCATATTAAAATAAAAAAGTTACTTAGTTGACTTTCTCTAAAATATTATATGTGAAAAAAAGTACTATAGGGTATAAAGTTGTACCACGAAAATTAAAAGAATATTATTAACATTAACTGAACAATTAGGAGTACGAATTATGTTTATCTTTGTACAGATGTAAGCACTACAGTAATCTGTGATATTGCCAAATCTCAAGCTGATTAATCAATCACAGAAAACACAGTTTATTAAAAAGTGAGTGAAAAGTATAGCTTTTGGTGCAAATTTAAAAAATTAATCTAAAATTTAGGCAATTTAAAAGAATCACATACAATATCTTTAAAAATAATAATAAAATAGAACATGTTACCATATATACAAATGCAATATCAATGAAGGAAATGATCTACTACGACGACTTACAAATTAAATAGAAAGAAAATCACGTCGGATGAATTATACACAAAAAAGTATGTATGTCATGTGCTTCACCAAATCCATAAAGATATGACATTTCATTGCATGTATAACAACACCAACGCACCAGTGGTCTAGTGGTAGAATAGTACCCTGCCACGGTACAGACCCGGGTTCGATTCCCGGCTGGTGCATTTTTTTTTTAATTTTCTTGCTGGCCCAGAAAGTAAAGTGAAAGCTTGTAAAATCACTCATTTTTTATAGTCCAATAAGCCTGAGATCAACAAATTTATACAAGTAAACCTACTCTCAAATAGATTGAGTTTCCAGCATCATTCGCTACGCTAATCAAGAAGCTGCATCTATTTTTCACACGTCGTTTCATGATTACATCCACTTTTAGCAGCTAAAACTACTTGAAGTTGCATGATATCTCCACAAAAAATGAAAGTCAAGTAGCTCTAAAGAGTACAAACGAGACAGCCGGGGAGACACAAAAGTACAGGGGAGAAGAACAACATGCCAAACCATGTAAGAGATTGTACCAGATACAGGTAGGATCCTTGGAACAAAATTCTTGTGGCAAACTTCAACAGCAATTTCTATGCCACGGATGAAATGGTGAATGAACTCTCATGATCCATATATCATGATATGGTTCCACTCCCCCCTGATTGTGATCGGGACTTTACAAAGAGTCTTACAGTTGAGAAGATGAAGGAAGGCTCTTCCATGGCTCCATTTACATAATCTCCAGAGGGAAGCCTCTTTGATACTGGTGGTATAAGAGAGATACCAAGCTCGTCAATTGTCATAAGGTGACGTTCTGTGAATGGGTTATACCACATAAATGAATTCATGGCAGGTGCCACAAAAAAGGGTTTCTTATAGTCCCACGCTCGCACAATGCAGGTCAGCAAGTTATCACACAATCCACCAGCAATCTACATCACAAAAATACATATCAATTTATATGTGCCATAAAAAAAAAAACGAGTGAGCTAGTAACCTCAAACGACTGTATAACCATGATATGCAAATCCTTCAAATATTTTATGTTAATATCTGAATATTCTGGACGCCTGTTTTACCGAATTTCCACACTTGCCACAGATCTTTTCAGTTTCAGGATACTTGCCATGAACACACGAGTATCCAGGGAACCAAATTCCATAATAACTTCACTAAGTCTAGGTCCTCAGTCAAATTAGTAATTTTTGTACATTTATCTGAACTTAGTTATATCACTATGGTTAACTAGTAGTATATAAGGAAATGAATTTGTTTCTTGCAGTGAAAATGTATATCCAATCTATGTTGCTCGGACTCTTCAAAAATGTCGACGGGGGGGTGTCGGATCCTCCAAAAACAGTGTATTTTTGAAGGATCCGACACGGGTGCAACAACATTTTTGGAGAGTCCAAGCAACTTAGTATCCAATGTCATGGAATGATAAGTAAAAAGATACAAGGAGACATCACCTTTCCAAGCGTATTTGCTGATAAAGGGGCAATAACCATGATATCGGCCCACCTACGAAGCTCAATGTGTAGCACACCATCACCCACCTTCTTCCAAACGGACCATTCATCATTATCTGTATAAAGGTCGACGTTTCTTGGAAATGACCCTGCGTCTATGAATGGAAGAGAAGCTTTTGTTGCAACTGCTTTGACTTCTGCCCATTCAGAAAAGCATTGACATAGATTTGAAAATTTGATAGCTGCCACACTTCCACTTGCAGCTAGCAGAATCCGAGGTTTACGTGAAGCATAGTTAACTTGAACTGGAGTTATAGGCTCCATGCTTCCTATAACCTGCAAAAGTCAGAATGAATTTTCTAATTGTATCAAGAGAAAAAAACAATAATTAAATGAGCATGCACCTATGAGAGAGAGAAACAAGTAGATACAACGTAGATCACTAGCAAAATTTGACAACCTTATATATCTATATTGCCATTCAGTCGAGATAGCACTTCCCATTTTCAATGACGTTGATTACGATGCCATGACTTCATATCACTAAGATTTGCAAACAAAGGCTTCATGCCTTCATCCACAACAATAAGCAGAACAACAGCTATCCCTTTATCAGTGTTATCAAAGGCGCGCTTTAAGCGCGCTTAAGCCCTGAAGCAAGGCTCAAAACGTGTTGAGCGCTTCGCCTCGCTTTATGTGCGCTTCAGTGTCGTCATCAAGGTTCTAAGACAAACTTTTCCTTGCCAATGAGCCTCTTATGAAGAATTGACAGTAAACAGTTGATATTTCACTTTATAATTAAAAAAAAATGATTTCATTGGTCATATGTTTGTCATTCGTGTTTATAATTATTAGTCTTGGACTAAACATATATATTTGTATTTTTTTTCTCCCTTTGCGCCTTTTTTCATTAAAGCCCACACTTTATTTGCGCTTTGCACTTCAAGCCCCCACGGACCTTAGAGCTTTTTTGCGCTTTTCGCCTTTGATAACACTGCCCTTTATGCAGAGTATCAAATCAAGTTTATTGAGAGAAATATTATGTAAACGAACCAACTTTGCATAGTAAAGAACCATTCGTTATAAGAATTAGGAAAGATTAATGAGGCAAATAGTCACTCTGCTTCCTATCACCACAGAATCTTCAAGTCTTCAGCAATATCACTATTCACTGCAACATGGTTTAGCACAAAGGAAATCCCATCTATGGTTTAGTACCACATAATTGGAGCATATCACAAAATCCAAAAATAAAGTAGTGTGTATAAAAAAGATACATGTAGATATTTGTACTGCTGTCCGAATATATATATATATGTATATTGTGCTAAATATTGGAATCTAATAGAAAAAAACCTACAAGCCTTTTTTGTCAAATTCTTTAGTTAGATCACACCACAACATTTGCTAATCCTACATAATATGTACGCAAACCTAGTATTATTGACTCTGCTTTGCTTTAGTATTTTTCTTTTCTTGAAACAGTTCATTTTGTTCACAGTTTTCAAAAATGACATTCATTTTGAGATTTTGATTTACTATTGTTAATCCTAAATTGCTAAAAGTGATCAAACTGAAATCATCTGTTCATCTTCAAAGAGGACTTCACATTACAACTCTCAAAACCCATTATTTATAAGACCTTTCATGCCCCTAGTAAAATATTTTACATTAGCCTTTCCCTAGAACAAAGAAGAAAAAAATACATAACAGTGTCTCTTAAGTCTTAACACAAAGCTATAGATCGATCCCAAAATGAAAAGACTCAAACCTCGTGTACTAACCAAACCAGGGGCTAGCTTTTTTATATATATATAAATAAGCTATTGAATCCCCTTGACTTAGCTTCATTTTTTTTATAAAGTAATAAATTCATTAGAAAAGGGAAAAAGCTCAACCGTTTACTAGAAGTATACCAGAAGTAGAAAACCTTATAAGAGGACATGATTTTCTACAAATAACACACACTCATCCATACATGTAGGAATCCTATGGGTGCACCAAAATGAAATAAGGAAAAATAGGTCATTCCTCAAGTGTAAAAAACCTTTCTCTACTCCCTCAAAAGCTCTTCTATTCCTCTCTCGCCATATGATCCACATAAGTCCAAGAGGATTAACATCCCATTACCCTTGACTTAGTTCCATATCTTAGGCATGACACTTTTACATTTCTTTTAGTCCCCATGATAAATTTTTGGCTCTGCTGCTTGACCAAACAATGTGAATTTACCACGGTATGATCAATTGAGGCAAATTATAGTACTCCTTCCATTTCAATTTGTCTCACTTTCCTTTTAGTCCATTTCAAAAAGAATGTCTAATTCCATTTCAAACAACTCTTCAATTTCAACTTTTAACCATGACATGCTCAAGGCCACAAAAATTAAAGTACATTTTGGTACATATCCTTAATTTAAAACAACAAGATTCAAAAGCATTCTATTAATTTCATAAACTCACATGCACCAATACTTTATGTTTACGAACGATCGATCGATCCCTTTAGTCAGTTCCAAATACAAAATTATAACAATACATACATTCCACAAAGTAAAAATTGAAGCATCACTTCGCCCTTAAAACTGAAATAGATTGACTGCAAACAAACGGAAAACGAACATTCAGAAAAAATGCATACGCAGAGTAGTGAACTTACCGAAAACTTGAGTGGAAATGAAAACGAAAATTGAAGTGCAAAACTTGTGAAGAACAACTCTTCCAAGAAGTCAGTACTCCGTTTACTTCGGCGGCGTTGAGAAAACCCTAACCGGAAGTCGGACGCCGATCAATTTTGTAAGTGCGAAAAGGGCGGGATAAGCGCAATTTGTGCTTTATAGCTTTTTTCACGGAGAATTGCGATTTGGGACTTTTGAAGGATTTTGAAAAGAAAAGTCTATATAGTTTACTTGGGCACCAAAAGCCAATTTTGGGCCTCCATTTTCGTGGACCCACTAGATATGATACGAGCCCAATATATGTTACTTCATATGTCTCAATTTTATATAGCTCGGATTGACGTAATAGAGTTAATCGAGTTCGTATATAACTTTTAAATATTTTAAGTTGTTAATTGTGATTTATAGTATGTAATTTTCAAATAATATATGTTATTTCTTCTGTTGCAATTTATGTGGCACATCATGTGAAATTTAAGTTGGTAATTATTATGATTTACACTATAATTTTTTCGTAATTTTTAAATACATAACATGAAACGGAGAAAGTACTAAAAATAAATAGAGAAAATTGAAACAGAAGGGCAAATCAGTCAATTTTGTCCCAATTTATGTGACATTTGTGAAACTTCGAGAGTCAACAAGAATTTCAATATATTTTTAAATATTTTATGTTGTTAATTATTGTGATTTATAGTACTACTTTTTTCGTAACTTTTTTTTCTTTTTTCGATTACGATATTTAGACTAACTTGCATGCACCTTAATTTGCTGGATTGGATTACTTTGCTCATCAAGATTTGAATAGATGAAAATAAATTAATTTAATATTGGTGAAGTTGATGTTGAGATGAAAATCTTAAGGTCACCTATCTACATGACAAAGAAGAGAGCAGAAACATGGTTTTGCTTCTTACCAGCAAAATTGTTCATTTAATGGTCTCAAATTATTGGCATTGCTGAGAAATACCAAGTAGGCCTAGTTTGTTGTTTAGCATTGTCTCGCGTATTCGTCTTTACTATTAGTTGTATTATTTTGATAGTTTCTCTGTCCTTTGAGTTTGGTTTTTTTTTCTTGCACTTTGATTATCGTTGTAACTTGTTATGACTGTTGTTTAGGATGATTTGTCAGGTTGTCTTAGCATTTTGTCATGACTGTCATCATTTCAGTTATTTCTCCCTATACAACTTTGGACTATATTTTCTTGAGCCGACGGTCTATCGGAAACAACCTTTCTATACCAATGATAAGGTTTGCGTTCATTCTACTCTCTTCAGACCCTACTTTATAGAATTACACTAAATATGTTGTTGTTGCCTAGTTGGTTGTTGATCAAAGAAACTAATCGTCTTTAATTTTATTTTCAAACTAGCTTCATCCACAAACTTTAGGCCCCATAACAACTTGGCCAACAGGCATCAGTACATGGCTTTGCCTTTGGTTAGTAACAAAAGCTTTTGCTCCATCTTGTATAAATAATAATCCCCTCTTCCATGAGCCTTTTCATTATCAAGCACAAGCATTATCAATTCAGTGATCAAAGGTCTCTAAATTTCTTATTTACTTTCTTGAGTCCAATCTTCCAAAAACCAAAATGACAATGAGCAGTACTAAGAAACTCATCAAAATAGCGAGGAGATGGCAGAAGTTCGCGTTCAAGCAGAGGAAGAGGATTTCATTTCCAAGAAATGATAGTGACACATCTTCATTCTCTATAGTTGAAAAAGGACATTTTGTAGTATATACATCTGATCGAGTACACTTTGTCATTCCATTGGCTTACCTTGAAAATGAAGTCATTACGTAACTCTTGAACATGTCCGAAGAAGAATTTGGGCTTACGAGTTGTGGTCCTGTTACGAGTAAATGGCCAAAAACATCTTTTAAGTATACCCTAAACTCAAACTACATCCTTATATTATTATTGTGAACAAAAACCATCCTTGAACTACTTTGAAAGTTACAAGTTACATCCCTCCTTAATTTTCTATCAAAAATCTAACGACCATCTCCTAATGAAAAGAGATTTTGTCCCCTCACCGTCTTCTTAAACATAGAACAAACATTGTCTTTGCTAAAAAGGATTTGTGAATGAATTTGAAATGTCATTTGTGGAGCTTTTTTTCCTACGTCGATTAGACAAGTCATTTTTTTTATATTTTAAGAACTTGTTTTCTTGGATAAAATATTTTTCAAAAACTTTGGCTAATTAAATATGAAAAATTGAAAATATATTTTTAAAAATTATTTTTCCCAGCACCAAAACACACACTAATTAAGAGTTCAAATCCTTCTATTTTAGTATCACATAATTTTTTTTTATTGTCCAAAGACAAATCTGCAAGGTTTACATCTGATTTTTAGGTTTAAAGTTTTCATTTAATTAGTTGAGAGTATAGGAAATTTGATGAATGTTGTTGGAGGAGTAACGTACTAATTAGAAAATGAAAAAATAAAGCAAACTCGGAATAGCATGGGATCAATAAGATTCTTGATAGAAAAGCTAACAACATAATAACAAGCTCAGTAAAATTAAAAAAAGGGACAAACCAAAGTTGAACAAGTCCCAAGTTATAAATCTTTAGGCCTTAATTAATTAATATTCCTACAATAATGCTAGTCATAGATACCTTTAATATGATTACTAGTTTACTACTTCATAGAGAAGATCAGTGAGTGGGCAAAAATTGTTTGCCTTTATCGGAATGTTGTGTGCTTCTACTTAAAGTGGTTAGTTTCTTGATTATCAAAGTTAACAGAAGGATGTAACTTGCAGTTTTTTAGATAGTTGAAGGATGTTTTTTGTTCAATGTAATGATACAAGGATGTAGTTTGAGTTTGAGGTATAGTTAAGGGATGCTTTTAGCCATTTACTCTCCTATTACATTACCCTGTGATTCGGCCTTCATGGACTATATCATTTCGCTAATCAAGAAAGGCGTACCTGTAGGAGATGTTCACAAAGCATTGCTCCTCTCAATTCCTTCATGTTGCTGTTCAACTTCTTCTTTGCACCGCAAAATCGGAACTCAACAGCTTCTTGTTTATTGAGTCATAAGCAATATCTTTTCATTACATGATAGCTTAAAATAGTTTTTAGATAGGGTAGAGAATGAAGAGTGCAGAGTTGTAAAGCGCATCATACAGATTGAATATCATTTTATCAGAAAATTTACCATATTCATGGATTTCACTTTTCAATTTGGTTATTACAAGTCCTAATATTAACTAGTACATTCTCTAAATATCACATTTATCCTAACAGAGACATACAAATCTGTAACTAATACAAGGGAAATTGACAAAAACCAGATATAAGCAGTATTACATTGTACAGTTCCTTTGTGTTCATTTTTTATGTTCACGGTTAAGTTTGTATCAGCTCTAAGAGATTAGTAATATTTTGAGCACTTCCTGTGATATATGGTCTAACTTGCTTCATCTTACCACCATCCATCATCATACTGTTACATTGCACCTATGGATCGGTGCATCTGAAGGTCCAAGTAGGATATGATGGATCTTTTCTAATGACCATCATCATATTATCATCTATATTTGCACCACAAAGTGAAGTAGAACGGAGAATCTAAGCGATTAAGGGAATTCTTTAAGCAAATATTACCAAAATGGAGATTAATCAGAAGCAGAATGTTTTCTATTCATAAACTGGCAGGAAGAATTTTCCCTCCAAGGTTCTTATATATTTGAACTATACAATGAATTTTCTCTTTCTCATTTACAAGCCAACTATTCTACAAAATTTCATTTGTTGAATCATTTGCACTATGATGCCGCTGATGATCTTCTTAAACGGGAAGTAAGATCAACGAACACATCCTCTTTGCAAGGTATTGTAAGACCACCCATTGGGTGATCAAAGCCAAACTCCTCTTCAGATTTAGCTAACAAGTCTTGAAATAAAGGCTGGCTTAAGTATGATACTGGCACGACGAATCTCTTCTTCTGGCTCTCTCCTACATATACTGCACAATGACCCTTGCCCCTTGGGAATACCTCCAGATGTTGAAGACCTCCGTAAGAACCGATTAGCCTGAATAAACGGACTCATTTTGATAGCCATTTTCTTCAAGCTAGAAATGTTTTGTAACTCCAAACGATCAAGGCAAAGAAAGAAGAATTTTTTTGAGAATTACACAGGCAATGAAAGTTTCTTTAAATGTTAGATACTTGTGTGCTGATCAAATGCTTTGTGTATTAGTATATATAACCTAACGACAATTATCATACACAAATGTTTTTTGGTGAAGAGAAATTTGAGATACAACAGCACATGAAGTTTCACATGGTTTTGCCTACTCCATTATTGTCAAAATATTGAGGCCACTTGTTTAAGAACAACACTAGGCCCCTCTGCTTCTCTTGACTTGGAACAGAAGACACCTTCAAAATTATGAGTCATGACATCATGTTCTATAAATTTTAGCTCAAAATAGATTGTATAGAAAGTGAAAAATAGGTAACTGAAAGCATGTATTATTATAAATTGGAATTCAGAAGCTTTAACATTCTCATATTTGGACTAATTTTTCTGAATGCTAAAACTAATATTTGGTATTTGGTATTTGGTATGATCAAATGCATGACTAGAAATCTTCACACATTCCTTTCAGAATGGGAGAGGAAAATAATGAGTTTTATAAGGTATAAAACAAGTTCACATGGTACACATGCTTTTGGGCTCGATGATGGTGTAGCCCAAGGAACAAATTCGTGAGTTCTATGTGGTCAAAGTAAAAAATACAAACTATGGGCTTGGGATGTGGCAAATATTATCAAGCCCAAGAAACAAATCCGTTAGGTTATTAGGTCAAAGCGGACAATACATGTCATGTGCTTGGATCGTGATATCTTTGGAGCACTATATGGGAATTGTCTAGGCAAATGTGACTAAAAGAGTGATTAATTAATCAGAAGTAGAACTTCTGCTACTCAGAAATTTACAATGAAAATGACCCATCTTTAAAATTTCCTCTTTTCCATTTACAAGTCCTATTTTACAAAAAAAAAAAAAAAAAAATTGTTGAAGAATAAGCACTATATATGATGTAACTCATGATCTTCTTAAGCTGGAGAAATACACTTTATTACTTTCTATGTCAATTAAATACGTGAATAAAGATATTCAACAAAAAAAAAAAAAATTCTTTATAGAGTTTCATACAAATAATTTTTTATAATTTTCATTAAGAGGTTTAAAATCTAAAGAAGTAAGCACATGAAAAATTTCCATATCAACTATGTATATACATAAAAAAAAAATTAACTACGTATAAATAGTAATATCATTTTTCACTGAGGAGATTCGAATGAACCCATCCTTTAGTATAGGAGTCCGAAAATGTATTTAGTGTAATTAACCCAAAAATACTACTTACGTGACTTATTTTCCTACTTATGTGACCCTCTCTATAATAATGAAATCTATTTTTTTGCTTTTCATAATAACGAAAATTAACAAATTGTTTATATTGTGTCTATATAAAAACTGAATTTATGATAATATGGGTGATGTTGAAATAAACGTTGTTAAAATAGGACTAAATATTTGTTTTTTTGAAACTAAAGGACCCAAAACAACATTTACTCTTCTTTTACGTTTCTCCCACATCGAGCTCAGCGAGAAGTTTGCAGCAGAATAAGAAGCGTAGCGAAGCAATGGAGCTCGTCCCTTCGGGGACATCCGATAAAATTGGAACGATACAGAGAAGATTAGCATGGCCCCTGCGCAAGGATGACACGCACAAATCGAGAAATGGTCCAAATTTTTTTGCCGGTCGTCGGCGCTTATGCTCCGGTCAGTCTGTAATTTTTGGCCTTTCGTCGGCGGCGCGTAAGCTATTCGGAGTTTCCTTCAGTCTGTTTTGTTTCCTGTTTCGTCTGGATTCAATTAGTATATTATCAACATTTGATTTACATGGCTCCTCTCGTATTTCGACATTCAGAAAAACCTAGTTCAATTAGTATATTGTGATTCTGTTATACTTCCTTGGTTTAGACTTAATTTGCATCTGAAGTTTTATCAGAATCCCCAAATTCATGTTTTTGCTAATTAGGTTTTGCCATTTGATTGACTTACACTTTTGTTGTTGTTGTTGGTTACAATTACAATAATTTCAGTTTAGATGGCTAATCCAGCTTCTATCAGAAAAAAATAACTCAGCCTTCATTGCTATGATTGCTGATGAGGTGATTCATTATTTAATCTTTCACTAATAATCAATATGCTTTCATATCTAACTTTACAATTTGAATCTGTTACCTAAAAGGAGTGGAGGTCAGGATTAGGTTAGAAGGTTTGTAGATAGTTGAGTGTTGTTGCACTTCCTTTTTTTTTCTTCTATGTGTATTAGTATTAGTTGCTTTCATTTGATTTGTATCTTGCTGTTTTGCCGTCATATTTTCTTGCTACCATGGTTAAATAATTTTTTTATTTTCTGTTGAGATGGAGAGTCTATTGGAAACGACCTCCCTACCCCACAAAGGTAAGGATAAGGTCTTGTAAATCCCCTACCCTCGCAGACCTCACTTGTGGGATTATATTGGGTATGTTGTTGAGCGAATTCATTATAGTAAATGATGGTGTATAAAACTGGATTGTGTCATTGGATTGAATATGTTCTTGAATCTTTTTTCTGATTCTAACAAACTACAAAGTGGAAATAGGAGACATCAAGTATACTGTTAGTGTTATGGCCCCCTATCGACAAGTCAATTCCTTTGATCTTATTGCAATTGCAGGGGAATTAGAATTTGAAATTCGTATTCTCATTGCGTACTTGCAAACTGATTAATGTAGGATATTATAATCACTGGATTTTTTACTAGCAGGAGTTGGCAATGTTGATTTGAGGAGGGAAACTAACTATCTTATTGTCGATTCAAGTATGTTTTCAACTTTTTGTTCTCTCTATTATTGTGATTTAATAGCTGAAGAAATTATGAAAGCGAGAAAATCGAGGTTGCTTGATTAGGATTGTTAAGTTCTTGGCAGTGATGGAGCTTTTACGTTTTGTATCACTCTAATTTATTTTTTGAGGAAGAATGTAATGTATATATATATTTCTGTTTCTTATGGTTTAGAAATAACGGTGAAGCAGATTGAAGATGCTTTTAGAGAATTCATCACAAGGGAGAACATTGGGCAATAGTGTTAATTAGCCAATATGTGAGTTTCTATTCTATTTTTCCCTCTTTTTTATGGCCAGCATCCATAGCATAACTGCTTGTTATAACTTTGTTATGGAGAATGTCGAATAATTAGTATGCTAGTGCTTATTGGAGGTATGACGGCGTAGCTTTGAACTTGTGAAGTTCCTCATCACAGGAAAAAATTCAATTGTCCTAGACTGTAGGTAGCTTGACATGGGAAACCTGATTGAGAAGTGGAAAATAAATTTTAGTTGGAATGTGATATAGGAAGTTAAGCCTCATTAAAAATCTTTCATGTGACGGTTCTACCACTTGCCTGGTATACTTGTATTTGCAAAGTCAACCTTGAATGGTGTGCGGCCCTCGAAGCGAAGCCTTGGAGCAACGGTAAAGTTGTATCCATGTGACCAATAGGTCATGGGTTCGAGCTGTGGAAGCAATCACTAATGCATACATTGTAGTAGGCTGTCTACATCACACGCCTTCCCCTTGGGGTGTGCCATTCCTCTGACCTTGAATGGCGTCTAAATAGCAAAATTGAGTCATTGCCATATAATGCCAACTTCTGTGACTGCAAAAGAGGAGGGTGTTTGTCTACTATGAGTCTGTCCTCCGCAATTGGAATGAGGACATTAATTACTGTTAAGACCAAACAACTTGAGAGAAAGTAGAAACACTTTCCATAGTAAAAGTGGCTAGGATTTGTTTTAAGATAGACTATCAATGGGTCCAAATTTGTGAGACTCAGGCCAAATACCATTAGCAGGATGGTTCTTTGGACAATGCCGAATCAAGGAAGTATCAAGATTAATGCCGATGGGAGCTACATAGATTATAATGATAAGGCTGGGATTGGGGGGATACCCAGAAATTGCAATGGGGATTTTGTTTTCGCGTTTGCTATTCCTGTACAGTGCCAAAATCTTTGGGGGATAGCCAGAGCATGTTCCCTATCAGTGGTTTGATCTCCATTCACAATTGGACAATATACCATTATTCATAAGAAACACTTGCTTCAACAAAAAAACATCGATTCTGATGAAATCACGTCTCCAATTTTACATCCATGTACTCTTTCGAGATTTTCCTAGTTGTTACATGTCATAAAATACTAACCGTTCTTGTGCCGATGATGAACTTTTAGCGTAGAAGTTGCTACTTAAAGGTAGTGAGCCACTTCGTCGACATAGATGTCATGTAGCTTCTCCACAAGAATATGTTGAGCCTTATCCTGAGAGCTTATGCAAAAAACCATCTGTTGTATGGACTGCGTATACTTGTAAAACTTATGATTATTTGATCACAGACTTTGATTATTGTAAGGATTGTTTTGATCTTAGTGGCAGAGAGAAGACTCGTTGGACAGTGAAAAAGGATGCTGGTGTTGACTTCTCTATCGATGAAGTGATAACAGTAACGAGGGATGGAGCGATTAGAATTGGGCTCAATACTGGAGGTGGTGTGGCTACATTTGCTGTAAGAATGAGAGAAAGGAACATAACGATTGTATCGACTTCAATGACTTATTGACAACATGTTGGATACCAACGACACATTTACACTTGTTGTTTTTTGATATTTTACAGGGTGTTAAGGTCTGGTGTGCTGTTTTAGCTTGAGCATTTCTTCTGTGTTGGTTGAGCAATTGGAGAAAGTGTATGCACCACTTATCAATGAGATTATGTACCTTTCAGCATTGTTGGAAAAGCCATTGAAGAATTCTTGGTGACACTACTATATGTTCCATTATTTTTTTACTAATAATTTAAATAGCCTCTATTTACAAAAAAAAAAATTAGTGGGAAATGAATTATGTTCCCTCTACTTCTCTTTACCTTAAATTAAATCCTATTCCTAAAGAAAGTAGGAGAAATAAATAAAATAGGAAACTTTTTGTTTCCGCCTTAAGTTTCCGAAACAAAAAAAAGGTTCCTGAACAAAATAGGAAATTAAATCCTTAAATCGTAGCAGAAATAAATAAAATAGGAAATTTCCACCTTAAGTTTCCAGAAAACAAAATAGGAATATCCAACTCTATATACACTCTGTTCTTCACCCTCATACTTTGTTCCTACAAAAAAAAAATCGTAGTTAGAAAATCTGGTGTTGAACAATGAGTAACTCGCAATATATGTTTGTGAATTTGCGTAGAATTGGAATTAGAAGTAGGCTATCCCCCTATGATCGTTCTTCCAGAAGACGACAACACGATCATCCCTTCGTTTTGGGATTACAAGCCACAATTACTCCACACAGTGCCGGAATTACCATTATTAACGTCAGCAGTCGTGATTTAGTGGAAAGGGCCTTAAGGCAGCAGCATGTACAAGACTATTTCAATGGAGGATCATCACCAAATTCTTCGGATGATTCTCAACCAGCAAGTGACCTGTTTGATGATCAAGATGCTTATACGGGGGAGAAAGAGGAGGATGATATATTATTGGGGTATTTTAAAACAAGAATCCATTGTGTTGCTGATGGTGTAAATAATCCCACAGAAACTGAAGAGACTTGTGCCATATGTCAAGCAGAATTTGAGCATGAAGAGTCCATTGGGACACTTGGGTGTGGACACGAATATCATACGGGCTGCATCAAACAATGGCTGCTGAGGAAAAAAGATTGTCCAATGTGTCGAGCTTCTGTTTTGCCCTGAGCATATAGAGATTGTTTTATTATGAAATTACATTGTGTAAACTTAGCAAGACAGTTATTCAGAAGTAGTGGATGTAACACACTATATATTTTTGATAAATACAAGAACAATTTGTTTCCTGTCCTAAATATTGTCAAGAGACCACAAATTATCATATCATCTAGCTACATTTAGTTTATAAGCTGACCGGGAAGAATTTTCCCTCCTACGTTCTTGTATTTTCCTCTCTTAGTTTACTCTTTCTCATTTACAAGCTATACTATTCTACAAAATTTCATTTGTTGAATAATTTGCACTACTGATGATCTTCTTAATCGGGAAGTAAGATGAACGAACACATCCTCTTTGCAAGGTATTGTAAGACCGCCCATTGGGTGATCAAAGCCAAACTCCTCTTCGGATTTAGCTAACAAGTCTTGAAATAAAGGCTGGCTTAAGTATGATACTGGCACGACGAATCTCTTCTGCTGGCTCTCTCCTACATATACTGCACAATGACCTTCTGGAACACCTCTGGATGTTGAAGACCTCCATAAGAACCGATTAGCCTGAATAAATGGACTCATTTTGATAGCCATTTTCTTCAAGCTAGAAATGTTTTGTAACTCCTATTGATGAAGGCAAAGAAAGATGAAGAATTATACAGACAATGAAAATTTCTTTGAATGCTTTGTGTTCTGCTTAAATGCTTTGTGTATTAGTATATCTAAATGTTTTTTGGTGAAGAGAAGTTGAGGGACAACAACACATGAAGTTTCACATGGTTTTGCCTACTGCATTATTGTCAAAATATTTAGGCAACACTAGGTCCCTTTGCTTCTCATGATTTGGAACAGTAGAGACCCTTAAAATCGACGAAATTAATGACCTAGTCCAGGACCACTTGGTTTAAAGATATGGTGACAGAGAATTGAATAAATGCATCAACCTCTTTGATTAAAACTAGACAAATTTAAGGCCCCATATAAACATAACCACCAAGCATCGGCACATGGCTTTGCCTCCGGTGGTTAGTGACAAAATCTTTAACCTATCTACAGCCTTTAATATAAATAACCCCCCTTCTATGATATGTTTTCATCATCAACTACAAGCATTATCTATTCAGACACCAATTGTTCTAAATTTCTAGTTTACTTTCTTCCAAGAAAAATGGCAATGCTCAGTGCTAAGAAACTCATCAAGATGGCCAAGAGATGGCAGAAGTTTGCGGCCAAGCAGAGGAAGAGGATTTCATTTCCGAGAACTGGCAGCGATGCAGACAGTTGCAGTACATCCTCATCCTCTATATTTGAAAAAGGGCATTTTGTAGTCTATACAATTGATCAAAGGCGCTATGCATTTCCCTTGACTTACCTTGAAAATGAGGTCGTTAGACAACTTTTGAACATGTCTAAAGAAGAGTTTGGACTACCGAGTGGTGGCCCTATAACTTTACCTTGTGATTCAGCCTTCATGGATTACATCGTTTCACTAATCAAGAAAGGTGTAGCTGCCAGAGATCTTCACAAAGCGTTGCTCCTATCAATTCCTTCATGTTGTTGTTCAACTTCTTCTTTTCATCAAGAAAGTCGAAATCAACAGATTCTTGTTTACTGAGTCATGACATCATGTTTTATGAATCTTAGATTAAAATAGTTTGTATAGCAAGTGAAAAATAGGCAACTGAAAGCATATATTGTTACAAATTGGAATTCAGAAGCTAATTTAACATGATTCTCATCTTTGGACTAATTTTTCTGAATGTATAGAATTTAATCCTATGAAAAACCAAATTTTGAGATTTGGTATGATCAAATGCATGACTAGAAATCTTTACACATTCCTTTCAGAATGGGGGAGAAAAATGATGAGCTTTATAAAATATAAAACAAGTTCATAATATGGTACGCACACTGCTCAAGGGACAAACTCATGAGTTCTATGGGTGTCGAAGCTAACAATACGAACCATGGGTTTGGGTCGTGACAGATATTACCAAGCCCAAAAGTGTGCATACAAAAATCAGTTATAGAGGCCTGGTTTGGGTCATGACAGATATTACCAACCCCGTTGATCTGCATCAACTGGTTGCAGTACAATAGTCGGTGGTTCATCCAAAATCAGTGATGTTATTCAAAAATTTAGTTGAGCGACTCTTCACTTTTGATGCCGCATTGGTGTCGAATTCTCCAAAAATGTACTATTTTTTGGCGAATCCAACACACAGTCATTGATATTTTAAAAAAGTCCAAGCAACATAGATCCACCCTGATCATTTGCTTGAGTAAAAGCCCCATTGGTGTTAAGTTTGTCGTAATTTTACAAAAGAGGCATCCATTTATTCCAAATTGGAGTTCTTGGTGACACTACTATTTGTTCCATTATTTTCTTTTATATATTTTTTTTTACTAATAATTTAAATATTTACAAAAAAAAAATTAGTGGGAAATTAATTATGTTCCCTCTACTTCTCTTTACCTTAAATTAAATCCTATTCCTAAAGAATGTAGGAGAAATAATAAAATAGGAAATTTTTTGTTTCCGCGTTAAGTTTCCAAAAAAAAAAAAAAAAGGTTCCTAAACAAAATAGGAAATTAAATCCTTAAATCGTTGGAGAAATAAATAAAATAGGAAATGTTTCCACCTTAAGTTTCCATAAAAAAAAACTACGAATATCCATCTCTATATATACTCTGTTCTTCACCTTCATACTCTGTTTCTTCAAATAAAATAAAAAATCGTAGTTAGAAAATCTGGTGTTGAACAATGAGTAACTCGCAATTTATGTTTGTGAATTCGCGTAGGATTGGAATTAGAAGTAGGCGATCCCCCTATGATCGTTTTTCCAGAAGAAGACAACGCGATCATCCCCTCGTTTTGGATTTACAAGCCACAATTAGTCCACACAGTGGAGAAATTACAATTATTAACGTCAGTAGTCGTGATTTAGTGGAAAGGGCCTTAAGGCAGCAGCATGTACAAGACTATTTCAATGGCGGATCATCACAAAATTCTTCAGATGATTCTCAACCAGAAAGTGAACTACTGTTTGATGATCAAGAGGCTTATACGGAGGAGAAAGAGGAGGATGCTATATTATTGGGGTATTTTAAAACAAGAATTCATCGTGTTGCTGATGGTGTAAATAATCCCACAGAAACTGAAGAAATTTGTGCCATATGTCAAGCAGGATTTGAGCATGAAGAGTCCATTGGGACACTTGGCTGTGGACACGAATATCATACAGGTTGCATCAAACAATGGTTGCTGAGGAAAAAAGATTGTCCCATGTGTCGAGCTTCTGTTTTGCCCCGAAATACATAGCATATAGAGATTGTTTTATTATGAAATTCCATTGTATTAAACTTAGGAAGACAGTTATTCTGAAGTAGTGGATGTAACGCACTATATATTTTTGATAAATACAAGAACAATTTGTTTCCTGTCCTAAATATTGTTAAGAGACCACAAATTATCATATCATCTACATTTAGTTTATGCTTGTATTTCTTATAATGTTTGTCAATTAATTAGCTTATTTCCGTTGATTGTCCAGAAATCTGGACTTTTGTTTTTCAATCATCATTAAGGGAACTCTTTAAGCAAATATTACCAAAACAGAGATTAATCAGAAGCAGAACGTTTTCTTTTCATAAACTGACCGGGAAGAATTTCCCCTCCTAGGTTCTTGTATTTTTGAACTATACAGTGAATTTTCTCGTTCTCATTTACAATCCTACTATTCTACAAAATTTCATATGTTGAATAATTTGCACTATGATGCTACTTATGATCTTCTTAATCGGGAAGTAAGATGAACGAACACATCCTCTTTGCAAGGTATTGTAAGACCACCCATTGGGTGATCAAAGCCAAACTCCTCTTCGGATTTAGCTAACAAGTCTTGAAATAAAGGCTGGCTTAAGTATGATACTGGCACGACGAATCTCTTCTGCTGGCTCTCTCCTACATATACTGCACAATGACCTTTTGGAACACCTCCGGGTGTTGAAGACCTCCTTAAGAACCGATTAGCCTGAATAAATCGAATTACTTTGATACCCATTTTCTTCAAGGAATGTTTTGTAACTCCAAAGGAAAGAAGAAGAATTACACAGACAATGAAAGTTTGTTTGAATGCTTTGTGTATTAGTATATATAAATGTTTTTTGGTGAAGACAAGTTGAGGGACAAGAGCACATGAAGTTTCATGGTTTTGCCTACTCCATTATTGTCAAAATATTTAGGCCATAAATTTGTTGAAGAACAACACTAGGTCCCTTTGCTTCTCATGATTTGGAACAGTAGACACCCTTAAAATCGACGAAATTAATGACTTAAATAATATATATGGTGACAGAGAATTGAATAAATGCATCATCCTCTTTGATTAAAACTAGACAAATTTAAGGCCCATATAAACATAACCACCAAGCATCAGCACATGGATTTGCCTACGGTGGTTAGTGACAAGAACTCAAAGCCTTTTATATAAATAAACCCCCTTCTATGATATGTTTTCATTATCAACTACAAGCATTATCTATTCAGACACCAAATTGCTCTAAATTTCTAGTTTTCTTTCTTGTTTCCATTCTTCCAAGACAAATGGCAATGCTCAGCGCTAAGAAACTCATCAAGATGGCCAGGAGATGGCGGAAGTTTGCGGCCAAGCAGAGGAAGAGGATTTCATTTCCAAGAAATGGCAGCGATGCAGACAGTTGCAGTACATCCTCATCCTCTATAGTTGAAAAAGGGAATTTTGTAGTCTATACAATTGATCAAAGGCGCTATGCATTTCCCTTGACTTTACCTTGAAAATGAAGTCGTTAGGCAACTTTTAAACATGTCTGAAGAAGAGTTTGGACTACCGAGTGGTGGCCCTATAAAATTACCCTGTGATTCAGCCTTCATGGACTACGTCGTTTCACTAATCAAGAAAGGTGTAGCTACCAGAGATCTTCAAAAAGCATTGCTCCTATCAATTCCTTCACGTTGCTGTTCAACTTCTTCTTTGCACCTAGAAAGTGGGAATCAACAGATTCTTGTTTATTGAGTCATGACATCATGTTTTATAAATTTTAGCTCAAAATAGATTGTATAGAAAGTGAAAAATAGGAAACTGAAAGCATGTATTGTTACAAATTGAAATTCAGAAACATTCTCATCTTTGGACTTATTTTTCTGAATTTATAGAACTTAATCTTACAAAAACCCAAAATATGGTATTCGATATGATCAAATGCATGACTATAAATCTCTTGTGTTTATAAGGTATAGAACAAGTTCACATGGTACACGCACTTTTATATCTGTTAAGTTGTTGGGTCAAAGCGGACAATACATATCATAAGCTTGGTCGTAACATTTTTAGAGCACTATAAAAGCTAGATTCAGATATCTAATTAAAGAGAATCCCCCCTCTAGGAGTATTTTAGTGATAGTTCTATAGGAACTGGACAATCCTATTTGGTCAAATACCTAGCAACAAACTCCTATGTTCCTTTCATTACGGTATTTCTGAAAGTCTAGGCAAATATGACTAAAGAGTGAGTAATTAATCAGAAGTAGAACTTTTACCACTCATAAATTTACAATGAAAATGGCCTATCTCTAAAATATCCTCTTTCTCATTTACAAGTTCTATTTTACAAAAAAAACATTTCTTAAAGAATTTGCACTGTGATGTAACTCATGATCTTCTTAAGCGTGAAGTAAGATCAATGAACTCGTTCTCTTTGCAAGGTATCTTGTGGATGATCATAGCCAAACTCTTCTTCAGCTTGAGCTAACAAGTCTTGAAATAAAGGCTGGCTTATGATACTGGCACAATGAATCTCGAGAGCTAGTTACTTCTATCTATGTATCTGTTTAATTTTTGGTGGACATAGTTATTCGATATCTTGTTCTATTCCTCGTGTTGTTTGAAATGTTATTTTGATACTTGTATCGGTGAAAGGTAGCTAGTATGACATAGAATGCCCAAAAATATTAACAACCTCTTGGAGCCAACGCGGATTTAACTGAGAACATAAAACAATGGATGCTAAAGAATCTATATATCTAATACTAATCAGTTAGGATTGAAATTTACTTGTTACAATAAATATTACTGTCAACTGTCTTTTTATTATTTAAAGATTTGTAAGTCTGTTAGGAATTAGGATAAAAGTGAGATTTAAGAAATACACTAGTTTTAGACTACTCCAAAGTTTGACTTAAAAAGACAACATAGAGACCATACAACAGCTGACCAAGTCCAGATTTCTGTACAATCAACCGAAAATAAACTAATCGACGAACATTAAAAGAAATACAAGCATCAATATATCACATTACTACTACAGTTAGAGTGTCTACATAAACTAAATATAGGATATGAAACAAATTGTTCTCGTATATATCAAAGACTATAGTGCGTTACATCCAAAACTTCAATACAACATAATTTCATAATAAAACAATCTCTATATGCTATGTATCTCAGGGCAAAACAGAAGCTCGACACATGGGACAATCTTTTTTCCTCAGCAACCATTGTTTGATGCAACCTGTACGACATTCGTGTCCACACCCAAGTGTCCCAATGGACTCTTCATGCTCAAATCCTGCTTGACATATGGCACAAATTTCTTCAATTTCCGTGGGATTATTTACCCCATCAGCAACACAATGAATTCTTGTTTTAAAATACCCCAATAATATAGCATCGTCCTCTTTCTCCTCCGTATAAGCCTCTTGATCATCAAACAGTAGTTCACTTTCTGGTTGAGAATCATCTGAAAATTTTTGTGATGATCCGCCATTGAATAAGTCCTCTTGATCATCAAACATTAGTTCACTTTCTGGTTGAGAATCATATGAAGAATTTTGTGATGATCCGCCATTGAAATAGTCTGGTACATGTTGCTGCCTTAAGGCCCTTTCCACTAAATCACGACTACTGACGTTAATAATTGTAATTCCGACACTGTGTGGAGTAATTGTGGTTTGTAATCCCAAAACGAAGGGATGATCGTGTTGTCTTCTTCTGGAAGAACGATCATAGGGGGATCGCCTACTTCTAACTCCAATTCTACGCTGAGTTACTCATTGTTCAACACCAGATTTTCTAAGTAGGATTTTTTATTTTTTTGAAGTAACGGCGTATGAGGGTAAAGAACAGAGTATATATAGAGATGGATATTCCTATTTTATTTACTTCTACTACGATTTAAGGATTTTATTTACTTCTCCTACGATTTAAGGATTTTATTTCCTATTTTTGTTTTGGAAACTTAAGGCGGAAACAAAAAGTTTTTTTTTTTTTTATGACAAGGGAAACCTGCAGTCGCTATCCTTTGGGTGCACACAGGGTAAAACCCCCGCTCTTATGCAATAGCTCGCAAACCACATGGGAGAGGTAACCCGCACTAGGCAAACCCGGCACGACGAGCTCGACCCAGAAGGCAAACCCCTTGCTTTCGCTGGCAAGGGGTTTCGAACTTGAGACCTCCAACATTTTTAAGTCCCAAGCCCAAACCATTGGGCCACCCTGAAGGGTAAGGCGGAAACAAAAAGTTTCCTACTATTTTATTTATTTCTCCTACTTTCTTTAGGAATAGGATTTAATTTAAGGTAAAGAGAAGTAGAGGGAACAAATTAATTTCCCACTAATTTTTTTTTTTGTAAATAGAGGCCAATTAAATTATTAGTAAAAAAAATATATAAAAGAAAAATAATGGAACATATAGTAGTGTCACCAAGAATTCTTCAATGGCTTTTCCAACAATGCTGGAAAAGTACATCTCGTTTAGGTCGGGGCCTCTATCGATAAGTGGTGCATACAATTTCTCCAATTGCTCAACCAACACAGAAGAAATGGTCAAGCTAAAACAGCACACCAGGCCTTAACACCCCGTAAAATATCAAAAAACAACAAGTGTAAATGTGTCGTTGGTATCAATAAGTCATTGAAGTCGATAGAATCTTTATAATTTGATATTTCTCAAATTATGGCTTCTGTTTCTTTATATTTGAATAACAAAAGGCAATGACTTAAACAGAAAACAGATACAAGATCATTGTAAGTTTACCTTTAAGAGTTTAATACATTGACGCAACACCAACCCAAATCTTGACTCATTATATCAATAAGCACACAGTACATTTCTGTCCTTCTATAAACACTCCATCACAACATCAATCGTATGCAAACTCAATTGAGTGACCAACATTCAACTCACTACAACGATAAATTATTCAGTCAAGCGGTGAAAAAAAGCAGCAGTAAATAAGGGACTGAACAGGTAATGTGAGTTAAGCATCAAGAAAGATTAAGGAATAATCTTTAGGAGAATGATGATAGAAAGAAGCATAATAAAATGGTGAACTGATGATCAGGGATATACCGTAAACCATTTTTTCCTCATTGTCTTTCAGATGCCACTATTCAGTAGAGAAGAGGTACTTCACTCGTGAAAGAATTAGAGTCGTGAGCAGGATCATATGGATAGTCCTTTGATGGAATCTCCAGAATGGTTGGGATTGGTTTATTGTAACTATCAACCAAGAATCTTATCATGTTTGCAACCTGAATATGAAAAACAGTGGACATATAGCTATAAGTTTGATGCAAAATGGGAGAAACTTTTATTCGATCCGAAGTATTTATTAGAGCAACTACAAGTAGAGGCAAAAGAGAGCAGTTAATTTCCGAGAAGATACATCGAAGCATTGATTTTTGTATGCGGAGGACAGAGTCATTTTAGACAAACGGTCCTCCTCTTTGCAGTCATAGAAGTTGGCATTATATGGCAATGACTCCTCAATTTTGCTATTTAGACGCCATTCAAGGTAAAAGGGCAGCCTGGTGCTCAAAGCCTCCCGCATTGGCAGGGTCCAAGGAAGGGCCGCACCCCAAGGGGAAGGGGTGTGATATAGATTGCCTACTCTAATGCAAGCATTAATGGCTGCTTCCACAGCTCGAACCCATGACTTATAGGTCACACAGAGACAGTTTTATTGTTGCTCCAAGGCTCCCGTTCGAGGGCCACACACCATTCAAGGTTGACTTTGCAAATACAAGTAAACCAGGCAAGTGGTGGAACTGTCGCATAAAAGTTTTTTTACGACGCTTAGCTTCCTATATCATACTCTGATTAAAATTTATTTTCCGCTTCTCAATCAGGTTTCTCACGTCAAGCTACCTTTGGGTCTAGGACAGTTAAATTTTTCCCTGTGATGAGCTACTTCACATGTTCAAAGCTACACTGTCTTACCTCCAATCAGCACTAGCATGCTAATTATTCGACATTCTCCATGTAAAAGTGAAAACCAGCAGTTGAAATGATTTTACGGATGCAGCCATAAACAAGAGGCAAAATAGAATAAAAACTCACATATTGGCTGATTAACGCTGTAGCAATGTCCTCCCTTGTGGTGAATTCTTTAAAAGCATCTTCAATCTGCTTCACTGATATATCTAAACCATAAGAAACGGAAATATACATTACATTCTTTCTTAAAAAAACAAATTAGAGTGATACAAAATGTAAAAGCTCCATCACTCACAAGGACTTAACAACCCTAATCAAGCAACCTCGATTTTCTTTCATCCATAGTTTTTTCAGCTATGAAATCTCAATATTAGAGAGAACAAAAAGTTGAAAACATACTTGCATCGATAATAGTATAGTTAGTTTTCCTCCTCAAATCAACATTGCCAACTCCTGATAGTAAAAATCCAGTGATTGTATCCTACATTATCAAGTTTGCAAGTATGCTAATGAGAATATGAATTTAAAATTCCAACTTCCCTGTAATTGCAATATGATAAAAGAACATGACTTGTCGATAAGGGACCATAACACTACCAGTATATTTGATACCTACTATTTCCACTTTGTAGTTTGTTAGAATCAGCAATAAGCAAATGTATTGAAACATTATGCAGGACATTTCTATGGACAGGAGGGGTAGATGCATCCAGGAAGGCATTGATTGCATGGGAGCAACTATGTAGTTCTAAAACTGCAGGGGGACTCAATTTACTGTATATCCAAACATGGAATAAAGCTGCAATAAGCAAGTTACAATGGAGTTTGAGTACTAAAAAAGATAGACTATGGGTGAAATGGGTTCATATGTACTATGGGAAACAAGGGACCTTATGGGGTGTTCTAGCACCTCAAGCTTCATGGATGGTGAGGAAAATACTCCAAATGCACAAAGACCTAAAGGATATTGGCTGGAATGAGGAGTATGTCAACCAGATTGATAAATTTTCTATAAAACAACTATATAAAGATCTTAGAGGAGATTACCAGAAGGTGGAGTAGAGGAGGCTGACTTGTAACAATGCAGCTTGTCCTAAGTGGATTTTCATATTATACTTAGCATTACAAAGCAGGCTGCTCACAAGGGATCGATTAGCAACATGGGGCTGTGCAGAAGATGTCCACTGTGTCCTATGTGGAACTGAAGATGAGAGCCATAATCATATATTCTTTCGGTGTCTGTTCTCATCTCAGGTGTGGCAGAAGGTACTCTGTTGGCAAAGTATCCATAGGGAGGCTCGAGGATGGGAAGAGGAAATAACTTGGGTAAATGCCCAATGCAAAGGCAAGAAAACAAGAGGTGAGGTATTAGGATGGCACTGGCTGCAAGTGTTTATCTTATTTGGCAGGAGAGGAACCAACGAATTTTCCAAAAGATAACAAGAACCCCTGCAATGCTGGCAAAACAGGTTCTTCAAGAGGTGCATATGAGAGGAAGAACAAAACCAAGACTAAGCTATGTATTGCAAACTCTGAATTTCTACCCTGTGTAGATGCTAGGTGCTTAGCTAGATTTGATAGTGATATTGTAGTAAGGAACTGGTAGTAAAGATAGTAGAGATTGAAAGTTGCTGCAAAACTAGGAGCTGTCCAGTTTGCTTGTGTTACTGATCTGTAATGTGCTAAAACTGATCATTGAATGCACATAAACAAATGAAGAATTATGGAAAAGATTGAAACTCCATTACAAACTTCTCAGAGAAAAACTATACATTGAAGAACATACTGGAAGATATTAAGCTACTGGTCTACTGCAAATCATCTGTATCACACTTTATATACATCTGATTACTAACCGACTTACATAAATGAAAATATCTTCTATAAGATCTCTAACTGACTAACAGTCGACTAAGCTACTAGGCTTAACTAACTAACAGTGACAGCTGGACTAACTAACAGTGACTAACAGTAACAGCTGAAATGTAAATCAGCTCTTCGCAATCTCCTTGTTGTATTCTCCAATATAATGCTCATTTGGTAATGAAATATTTTACTTGCCAAAAAAAAAAAAAAGAATCAGCAATAAGATTTAAGAACACATTCAATCCAATGACACAATCCAGTTTTATACACCAATCACCAGCAGTGGCAGCAATCAGACGAGCCAAAGTTGATACAGAATTAGGGGATTTCACATTACCTAGAGGGACTGAACTCCTTATACCAATTATAGCAATTCATTACGATCAAACACTATGGGGACAAGATGCTAACGAATTCAATCCAGCAAGATTTGGTCTAGGAGTGGCACAAGCAGCAAAACACCCCATGGCGTTCATGCCTTTTGGCCTCGGCGCCCGACGATGCGTCGGCCAAAATTTAGCAGTGTTACAAGCTAAATTAGCAATAGCTATGATCTTGCAGCGGTTTTTGTTTGATCTTTCTCCAAATTACCAACATGCTCCTACTAAGCTACTAACACCATCATTTACTACAACGAATCCGTTCAATAACAACATACCCAATATAATCCCACAAGTGAGGTCCGGGAGGGTAGGGGGTTTACAAGACCTTATCCTTACCTTTGTGGGGTAGAGAGGTTGTTCTCATTTCGACAAAAAAGAAAACATAAATTGAAGCATGGTAGCAAGAAAATATTACGGCAAAACAGCAAGATACAAATCAAATGAAAACAACTAATACTAATACACATAGAAGAAAAAGAAAGAAAGTCTGACAACACTCTGCTACCTACTAACCCAATCCTGACCTCCACTCCTTTTAGGTAACAGATTCAAACTGTAAAGACAGATATGGAAGCATATTGATTATTAGTGAAAGATTAAATAGTGAATCACCTCAGCAGCAATCATAGCAATGAAGGCTGAGTTATTTGTTCTGACCGGTACTCGATTCACCATCTAAACTAAAATGATTGTAATTGTAACCAACTACAAGAGAATTACAAACAAAAGAAAAAAAAAACTTTGCCAATCACATGGCTAAACCTAATTAGCAAAACATGAATTTGGGGATTCTGATAAAACTTCAGATGCAAATTAAGTCTAAACCAAGGAAGTAAACAGAATCACAATATATTAATTGTACTAGGTTTTTCTGAATGTCGAAATACGAGAGGAGCCATGTAAATCAAATGTTGATAATATACTAATTTAATCCAGACGAAACAGGAAATAAAACAGACTGAAAGAAACTCCGAATAGCTTACGAAGCTTGAGAAATCTCGTGTGACCGTCGCCGCCGCCGAACGGCCAAAAAATACAGACCGACCGGAACATCAGCGCCGACGACCGGCAAAAAAATTTGGACCATTTCTCGATTTGTGCGTGTCATCCTTGCGCAGGGGCCATGCTAATCTTCTCTGTATCGTTCCAATTTTATCGGATGTCCCCGAAGGGACGAACTCCATTGCTTCGCTACTGTTCTTATTCTGCTGTAAACTTCTCACTGAGCTCGATGTGGGAAAAACGTAGAAGAAGATACAAGTAGAGTAAATGTCGTTTTGGGTCCTTAAGTTTCAAAAAACAAATATTTAGTCCTATTTTAACAACGTTTATTTCAAAATCACCCATATTATCATAAATTCAGTTTTTATATACACTCAATATAAACAATTTGTTAATTTTCGTTATTATGAAAAGCAAAAACAATAGATTTCATGATTATAGAGAGGGTCACATAAGTATTATTTTTGGGTTAATTACACTAAATACACTTACAAACCCCCTATACTAAAGGATTAGGGGTTCATTCGAACCTCCTGAGTAAAAAATTATTTATATGTAGTTAAATTATTATTTTTATGTATATATAATTGATGTGAAACTTCCTTTATATGTTTACTTCTTTAGATTTTAAACCTCATTAATGAAATTATAAATAAGAAAATTTATTTGTATGAAACTCTATAAAGAAGATAAATAATTTTGTTGAATATCTTTAGTCACACATTTAATTGACATAAAAAATAAATAACGTGTATTTCTCCCACTTAAGAAGATCACGAGTTACATCATATATAGTGCAAATTCTTCAACAATTTTTATTTTTTTTTTGTAAAATAGGACTTGTAAATGAAAAAGAGGAGATTTTAGAGATAGGTCATTTTCATTGTAAATTTATGAGTAGCAAAAGTTCTACTTCTGATTAATTACTCACTCTTTAGTCACATTTTCCTAGACAATTCCCATATAGTACTCTAAAGATGTCATGATCCAAGCACATGACATATATTGTCGACTTTAACCCAACAACCTAACGAATTTGTCTCTTGGGCGCGATAATATCTGTCACAACCCAAGCCCATGATTTGTATTTTTAACTTTGAGCACATAGAACTCACGAGTTTGTACCTTGGGCTACACCATCATCAAGCCCAAAAACGTGTGTACCATGTGAACTTGTTTTATACCTTATAAAACTCATTATTTTCCTCTCTCATTCTGAATGGAGTGTGTAAAGATTTCTAGTCATGCATTTGATCATACCAAATACCAAATACCAAATATTAGTTTTAGCATTCAGAAAAATTAGTCAAAATATGAGAATGTTAAAGCTTCTGAATTCCAATTTGTAATAATACATGCTTTCAGTTGCCAACATTATAAGAAATACAAGCATCAATATTACATAAACTAAATTTAGGACAGGAAACAAATTATTCTTGTATTTATCAAAAATATATAGTTAGTTACATCCACTACTTCAGAATAACTAATTGTCTTACTAAGTTTAATACAATGGAATTTTATCATAAAATAATCTCAATATGCTATGTTTTCAGGGAAAAACAGAAGCTCGACACATGGGACAATCGTTTTTCCTCAGCAACCATTGTGCAACCTGTATGATATTCGTGTCCGCACCCAAGAATCCCAATGGACTCTTCATGCTCAAATTCCGCATGACATTTGGCACAAATCTCTTCAGTTTCTGTGGGATTATTCATTCTATCAGCAACATGATGAATTCTTGTTTTAAAATACTCTGAATAATATAGCATCCTCCTGTTGATCATCAATCAGTTCAGTTGCTACTTGAGAATCATCTGGAGAATTTGGTGGTGATTGGTCATTCAAATTGTCTTGTACATCCTGTTCCACTAATTGATAGTTGCGTGGAGTAAATGTGTATTGCCTGCTTGTCATTCTAACACCAAGCCGATAGACAGACATAAATTGCAAATATTGATGATAATCTAGAGAAGAATGAGAGTTACTCATTGTTCAACACCAGATTTTCTAAATACGATTTTTTTTTCTTTTTTTGAAGCAACAGAGTATATATAGAGTTGGGTATTCGTAGTTTGTTTTGGGTATTTCTCCTACTTTCTTTAGGAATACGATTTAAGTAAGGAGAAGAATTAGAGGGAATATAACTAATTTCCCATTAATTATTATTTTATTTTTTTGTAAATAGAGGCTATTTAAATTATTAGTAAAAAAACATATCTATATATAAAATATATTTATTGTAACTATCAACCAAGAATCTGATCATGTTTGCAACCTGAATATGAAAACCAGTGGATATATTAGCTACAAGTTTGATGCAAAAGGGGAGACACTTTTATCAATCCAAAGTATGAGGACAGACTCATATTAGACAAACGGCCCTCCTCTTTGCAGTCATAGAAGTTGGCATTATATGGCAATGACTCCTCAATTTTGCTTTTCAGACGCCATTCAAGATTAAAAGGGTAGCCTCGTGTACAAAGCATCCCGCATTAGCAGGGTTGCACCCTAAGGGGGGAGGGTGTGATGTAGACAGTCTACTCTAATGCAAGCATTAGTGATTGCTTCCACAACTCGAACCCATAACCTATAGGTCACACGGAGACAACTTCACCGTTGTTCCAAGGCTGCCCTTCGAGGGCCCACACACCATTCAAGGTTGACTTTGCAAATTCAACTATACCAGGCAAGTGGTGGAACCGTCACATAAAAGATTTTTAACGAAGCTTGACTTCCTACATCATACTCCTACTAAAATTTATTTTCCACATCTCAATCAGGCTTCCCACGTCAAGCTACCTTTGGGTCTAGGACAGTTGAACTTTTTCCTGTGACTAATTCACAAGTTCAAAGCTAAGTCGTCATACCTCCAATTAGTACTAACATACTAATTATACGACATTCTCCAAGGCAAAGCTATAACCAGCAGTTGAAATGATGCTATGGATGCTGCAATAAAACAAGAGGGGAAAATAGAATAAAAACTCACATATTGGCTGATTAACACTATTGCAAATTCGCAATGTCCTCCCGTGTGGCGAATTCTTTGAAAGCATCTTCAATTTGCTTCACCGTTATTTCTAAACCATAACAAACGGAAATATACAGTAGGTTGTTTCTCAAAAAACAAATTAGGGTGATAAAAATGTAAAAGCTCCATCGCTGATAAGGACTTAACAATCCTAATTCAAGCAACCTCAATTTTCATTCTTTCATAATATCTTCAACTATTAAATCACAATATTAGAGAGAAAAAAAAGAAGCTGAATAACATACTTGAATCGACAATAAGATCTAAGAACATATTCAATCCCACGACACAATTCAGTTTTATACACTATCATTTACTACAACAAATATATTCAACAACAACATACCCAATGTAATCCCACAAGTGAGTTATGGGGACACTTGTGGTGAATTCTTTGAAAACATCTTCAATCTGCTTCACCGTTATTTCTAAACCAAAAGAACGGAAATATACATTACATTCTTTCTCAAAAAAACAAATTAGAGTGATGCAAAATGTTAAAAGCTCCATCACTGACAAGGCCTTAACAATCCTAATCAAGCAACCACTATTTTCTTTCTTCCATAATTTCTTCAACTATTAAATCACAATATTTGAGAGAACAAAAAGTTGAAAACATACTTGAATCGACTATAAGATACAATTAGTTTTCCTCCTCTAATCAACATTGCCAACTTCTGCGAGTAAAAATCCAGTGATCGTATCCTACATTAACAAGTTATTGCCATCAGATGAGTATCTACCCTGTTGGCCCGTTCTACATAGCTTTGCCTTTAACAAGTTTGCAAGTATGCTAATGAGAATTTTTTGAGTTTAAAATTCCAATTTCTCTGCGATTGCAATAAGATAAAAGGAATTGACATGGCGATAAAGGGGCCATAACACTACCAGTATACTTGATGCCTACTATTTCTACTTTGTACTTTGTTAGAATCAGCAATAAGATTAAAGAACATATTCAATCCCATAACACAATTCAGTTTTATACTCCATCATTTACCACAACGAATCCATTCAACAACAACAACATACCCAATGTGATCCCACAAGTGAGTTCTGGGTACAGTAGAATGTACGCAGACCATATCCTTAACTTTGTGGGATAGAGAGGTTGTTTCCCGATAGGCCCATGGCTTGGCAGAAAAGAAAAGAAATCGAAGCATGGTAGCAAGAAATATGACAGCAAAACAACAAGATACAAATCAAGTGAAGCAACAGATAGTAATACACATAGAAGGGAATGTAACAAAGTGCGACAACACTCAGTTACCTACTAACCTTCTAACCTAATCCTGACATCCACACGTTTTAGGTAACAGATTCAAATTGTATCTAAACTGTAAGTCAATCACATAGCTAAACCTAGTTAGCAAAAACATGAATTTGGGGATTCTGATAAAACTTCATATGCAAATTAAGTCCAAACAGAAGGAAGTAAAACACAATCACAATATAATAATTGAGCCAACTTTTTTGAATGTAGAAATACGAAAGATGCCACGGAAAACGACCGACCGGAGCATCAGCGCCGACGACAGTCAAAACACAACCACAATATACCGGCAAAAAAATTTGGACCATTTCTCGATTTGTGCGTGTCATCCTTGCGCAGGGGCCATGCTAATCTTCTCTGTATCGTTCCAATTTTATCAGATGTCCCCGAAGGGACAAACTCCATTGCTTCGCTACTGTTCTTATTCTACTGCAAACTTCTCACTGAACTCGATGTGGGAGAAACGTAGAAGAAGATACAAGCGGAGTAATTGTCGGTTTGGGTCCTTAAGTCTCGAAAAACAAACATTTAGTCCTATTTTAACAACGTTTATTTCAACATCACCCATTTAAGTATTCTTACTTTTTTTTTATGAAGACCCAATATAAACAATTCGTTGATTCTTTATTATTATTATAAAAGAGCAAGAATGCTTATTTTTTTCTCCCTAAATTTTATTTTAAAATTGAATAAAGATACTCTATAAGGTGTTTAGTACGATGGATAATAAGTTGGTTTTGTGACTTATTTTCTCATATTTGGCTAGTAAGTTCTAGTATTTGGTTGATGTATGAAATATTTTCAGAAAGTATCTTTTATTCTTTTTGCTAAAGAATGGAAAATAATTTTTGACATGAATTGGTCCGGGACTCAACCCTAACGATCAATTCGGGATCCGACCCCAATCCCAACCCAGGAGCTGACCCCAACTCCCGACCTGGGACCTGACCCCGACATTCGATCCAAGAGGAGCTGACCAAAACTCTTAACCCGGAACCCAACATTCGAAATGGAACAAAATCTCGAACCCAACCCCGACATCTAATTCGGAACACGATCCTGATGATAAATCCAAAATATGGCCTCGAGACATGATCTAGGACCTAACCCCGACTCTCGCCCGAATTCTGACATTCAAGCTACGACCCGACCTCGACATTTGATCCTCACTCTCGATCCGAGATGCGACATTCGAACTGGATCTGATCCCCACCTCGACATTCAATTAGGGACATGACTCAGACGATCGATTGAAAACCTAACATCGAGACCAAACTCAAGACATGATCCTGACTCTCGATTTGGGATCCGATCATGACCATGACACTCGAATCTGGACACGACCGACCAATCTAGAATTCGACCCCAACATCCGAATAGAGACCCAACTTTCTAATCATGCCTAACCCCAACACTCAATACTTGATTTCAACGGAAAATAAGCTAATTGACCAACTTTATAAGAAATACAAGCATCAATATTACATAAACTAAATGTAGGTGATATCGTAATTCGTGGTCTCTTAACAATATTTAGGACAGGAAACAAGTTGTTCTCGTATTTATAAAAAAACATTTAGTGTGTTATATCCACTACTTCAGAATAACTGTCTTACTATGTTTAATACAACGGAATTTCATAATAAAATAATATTTGAATACTATGCATATCAGGGCAAAACAGAAGCTCGACACATGGGACAATCTTTTTTACGCAGCAACCATTGTTTGATGCAGCCTGTATGATATTCATGTCCACACCCAAGTGTCCCAATGGACTCTTCATGCTTAAATTTTGCTTGACATATGACACAATTCTCTTCAGTTTCTGTGGGATTATTTACACCATCAGCAACACGATGAATTCTTGTTTTAAAATACCCCAATAATATAGCATCCTCCTCTTTCTCCTCCGTATAAGCCTCTTGATCATAGGGGAATGGCCTAGTACGAATATAGTGCAACGATTGCAGATTATATATAAAAGATTCAGGGTAACTCATTGTTCAACACGAGCAAATTCAACACAAACAATTTGGAGATTTTAGGTTTTTTCTTTAAGAAAATTTTATTTTTGAAGAACAGAGTATATATAGAATTGGGTATTCATAGTTTTTTTTTATGGAAACTTAAGGTGGAAACAATACAAAGTTTCCTATTTTATTTATTTCTCCTATTTTCTTTAGGAATAGGATTTAAGGATTTAATTTCCCATTAAATTTTGAGGGTATTTAAAAATAATTACAAAACAAAGTCAAAAAGATGGAATAAAAAAGAGTTACTTTCAAATATATATAATAAAGTGCATTTAGTTAACAATAAATATAGTCATGTTTTATTTACTTAAAAATAGCCTAATATCTTAATAAATATACACCAATTATACAATATAGCTTGTCAAAAGTCATAGAAAATATATATTGACTTATACAATATGGCTTATCTATACATTATGATATACACAAAAGGTTTAATATAGTTTAACTATACGTGAAGATACACTGATTATACATGAAATATACAATCATGATTCAATCTCAATCAATTCAAAATCACCTCTAAACAATCCTAAATTTTAGATATGAAATCTTCTCGATGTTTCAAGTCTTTTGATATATAACTCATACATTGAAATTTTTTGAGTAGTGACATTATAACTTGTGTTTCCATAACCAAGAAAAAGGACAATTGCTAAATGGACTTTCATTCACTATTGAACACTCAAGTCATTGTAGTTCCAGTTTGAATACAAAGGATCAAAACTAGCAACTTCTGAACTCTAAATAATACTTTCTACCAGCATGCAAAATTTGCATGAACTTACCATAACTCCAAAATATTAGAAAGGAGAATGGATCAAGAGATTACAAAGAAAATGACAAAACATAAAAGGGATTGAAAATGTACTAGACAATTAAACACCTATGGTATATGTATGTATGTATGTATACAGTTAGCTTTGTAGCTTTGGCGGTTAGGATGAGAGTGCAAGCTCAGCCCATGCTAAAGACGATGCCTTGAGCTCTGCAGTTATGGATGTGTCAATGTCGCTCTCCAGCATAGCACACAAATCTCTCATCGAAGTCCTGCTACTCGAACTTGGGTGGATACAGAGATTAACCACTTCAGAAATCACTTTGAGGTCTTCGTATCTGAAATGTTTCAACTCGGGATCTACAACATAAGGCAATACCTCTGGTAATTCAAGGAATTCTTTTGCCTGCCATATCAAAGTCAACTTCAGATTCCATAAAGCACGAGTCCAGGTTCCACAGAGAGAGAGTTATCATTATACAAAAGGCATAATACACAAGCAGACACTCAAACTTGGCCTAAGCTAGCAAGTAAGCACTCCCAACTTTGAGAGTGCACATCTAAACAACTCAACTCGTCTAGACGTGCACTCTCAAAGTTGGAGTACTTATTTGCCATCTGAGGCCAAGTTTGAGTGTATATTTATGTACTATGCCTATACAAAAACTTCATGAAAAGAAATGCTTACCCAATCTACTAAGCACCCTTTGTCTTTGCAATATGGAGGTCTTCCGCTGATTATTTCGAGCAGTAGTACTCCAAATGCATAGATGTTACCCTGCATGTCAAGATGACGGCTCTGTAGAGAATTTGGAAGGACACACATTGCTCCTTCACTACTGATAGCACCGGAATTCTTTTCTGATCTGGCAAATGTTGTTTTCCAACTTTCAAAATCAACAAGCTGCACCAGATAAATTAAACTTTGAGAGAAAAGGGTATGAAAAATCAGCCTTTTATTACTCGGGTTAAAAAGCACAAAGGGTTGAGCTTGAAGGAAACAAAAATGGAAAAATGTAAGCCCAAATTGTTTGTAAGGAAACTCGGCGAGTTCAAAGATTAAATGAGCAGAAACCGTGGAGAGTAAACTAAAATTGTCTTATGGATGAGCACAATTGACAGTAAGATTAACCAGAAAGTTTAACAGCGAATTGGTTTTGCAGCAGTGATACAGAAATCTTTTGCTTACCTTGGGAGAAAAATCTTCTGTGAGATATACAGCATTTGAATTCAGTTCTGATATAGTGAATGGCGGGTCAAGTTCTGAATGGAGATATTTCAGTCCTTTAGCGATGCCAATAACTATTTTCATTCGCCGCGTCCAAGAAAGTTGGCATCCTTCTCCATCTGTGATAAGTTCAAAGAGTTCGGATTTCAGCCTCTAAAACATACAGTAAGCAAATGTGTAAAATAGTTTTTTCCACTCACAATGGAGGTGTTCATATAAAGTCCCGTTAGATGCATACTCAAACACCAACATCCTTGTGAAGGGGCTGCTCTCTCTGCAGTAACCTAGAAGTTTTGCAGTGTTCTCGTGATTTATTCTGGCCAATTCTGCCACCTGAGTTTGTAAGCCATACAAGTTAGAGCATTGCAGCAAAGATGAAATTTTTATTGCGCACGAGAGCTCAGCAGTAGCCATGTATTTTAAAGAGAGAACAGGCTTCACCTCTTTCTGAAAATAAAGCTCTAGATAGGTGGTCCACTGCTCTTCTTTGACACAAATGGAAATTACAGCTAATTCAGGTCCGCCTTTCACAGTTCCTTTATAGACCAAGCTGTCTGGTGAGGATCCAATAATGTTGCTGAAATCTTCACAAGCTACCTCAAGTTCTTGTCTGCTATATCTTACAACGTCCTTTAGCATCTCAGTATCTGACAAAGAAACATTTGTTACTAATAGAAATGTGAATTATAATTAATGCTTCTGAACTTGTGATCCTATACACTGTGTGAGCTCACAAGTCGGGTCTAGGGAGGGTGAGGTGTATGCAGACCTTAAACTTGCCTTTGTGGAAGTAGAGAAGTTGTTTCCGATAGACCCTCGGTTCAAGAAAAATGTTTTCCAAAACAGGTTTTTAAAATTACAAGAGTAAGGAAGCTATTGTGAAAACATCATAGAAAAGAAAAAGGCATAATACAGTAATGTGCCTTTTAATTTGGCCTCATTTCACATTTATGTCATTTAACTTTGGATGTGCACAAGCAGACACTTAAACTTGTATAAAGTTAAACAAGTAGGCACATGAGTCCTATGTGGCTTAAAGGGCATATTTATGTATTAACAACAATAATAGTAAAGATAACTGAAGTAACAGAAACATTAGTAGTACTAAATTGAAGAATCAGATCCTATATGAGAAAGAATTAAGGGCGTGTTCGGTATGGAGGTAGGGAAAACAAGTTCCACAAGTGGTATTTCACATCAATTGTGTCCTCCCCACCCTCCAACACACCTCAGCTCACCCCCATCCCCACCACCCGGGACCCCTACTCCCACCTCCCATAGTATTTGCCTAGATTATATACAAATCTTATTAGGGTGGTGTTTTTTACTTACATACCAAACACAAGAAAATAAGTAAGAAATCCACTTATTTTCTGGAAAACATTTTCCAAGGAAACCATTTTTCCTTCATACCTAACACACCCTAAGTCAATAAAGAATCAAGTAATAC